GGATCAAGAAAATGTGGTATATATACACAATGGAATTCTATGCCTCCATCAGAAAGAATGACATTGCCCCATTTGTTAGGAAATGGAAAGACTTGGAAAATTATATTAAGTGGAGCTGAAGAGCTCAGGGACAGCACCCAGGCCCCCGACGACAAAAACAAAAAAAACTCCAAAAAGCCAACAACAACAAAAAACTAGAAGTGGTGGTGTGGCTCAAGTGGGAGAGCACTAGCCTTGAGCACGAAGAGGCTCAGGGACAGCACCCAGGTCCTGAGTTCAATCACTGGGACCAGTGAAAAAAAAACCCCCAAAAAATAACCAAAACCTCAGCACCAGTGGTTCACACCTATAATCCTAGCAAGGTTTGAAGTCCTCCAGGACAGAAAGTCAGTCTGTGAGACTCTTATCTCCAATTAATCGTAGAAAAAGCTGTAAGTGGAGCTGTAGCTCAAGTGGTAGAATGCTAGCCTTAAGCAAAAAAAGGAGTGCAGGGACAGCGCCCAGGCCCAGAGTTAAAGCACCTGGACCAAAACAAAAACAAACAAAACAAAAAAGAAAAGCAATTGACCTCCGCATTCCAAGCTTGTGTACTTCTGAATTTTAAGGTCCCTTAGGCTAGAGGAGTAAAGCAGATTTGGGCTAACTTTTGTTCCAGGTACATTTTGGTATTGCATCTGAAAAGCCTAAAGAGGGAAAAACTGTCTCCAAAGAGATACAGAAAAAGCCACAAACTTACCTGCTATGGCTTTCAACTTTGCAGATCAACAGTAGCAGCACTCTAGATATTTTTTCCCATCTCTTAGTCAGAATCTTATGTTAATTTCTAATTGGAGCTAAGGGCTCCAGTATTATCTCAAACAACTTTTCCTCCTATAAACCAAGGAAAATATACAGGAGCAGATAGCAGATAGCTCCAGGAAGCACAACACAGTAAATATATTTTTGTGTCTAGAGAATATATGGCCTAGATGATGGAGATTAATAGTAGCTCTTGCTGAGACTTTACATGTAAATCATGAAGGCCCGGGGCAGGTTTGAAAAATTTGAGCTCAAAAGTAGACAGATAGGATTTCAGTAATATGGGTGTGAAGACCAAAAGCCACACATAGTTTCAAGGAACTACAACAGAGCTTAGTATTATTTTCCTCATTGCTTATTCTTTTTTTTTTTTTTTGCCAGTCCTAGGGACTGAATTCAGGCCCTGGGCACTGTCCTTGAGTTTCTTTTTGCTCAAGGCTAGCACTCTGCCACTGAGCCACAGCACCACTTCCGCCTTTTCTGTTGTTATTAGTACAGAAGAATCGAACCCAGGGCTTCATGCATGCAAAGCAAGCACTCTACCACTAAGCCACATTCCCAGCCCTTAACTTTAAAATACTTTTAAACCAGGAGTTAGGGGCTCCAAACTGTAATCCTGGCTGTTCTGGAGATTTGAGATCCACAGGATGCTCTTTTGGAAGCCAGCGAAGGAAAAACAAAAAACAAAACAAAAGCTCCAGAGACTCTATCTCTTGGAAAACAACTGCCAACAACTCAGGCTGGGAGGGCTACTGAGAAGGGTGCAGCTCCAAGTCTGCTCTGTGAGACATTATTGTTGTTATTATTTTTGTGCTGGTCCTGGGGCTTGAACTCAGGGTCTGGGTGCTGTCCCTGAGCTCTTTTGCTCAAGGCTAGAGCTCTACCAGTTTAAGCCGCAGCGCCACTTTTGTTTTTTTTTTTTTTAGTAGTTAATTGGAGATAAGAGTCTCACAGGGACTTTTCTGTCCCGGCTGGCTTTGAACCTTGATCCTCAGATCCCACTCTCCTTATCAAGCTAGGATTACAGGCGTGAGCCACCGGGCTTAGAGGTGTCGTTTTTAAGAGGGCCTTGACCTCCGCAGAATCTCTTCCCTGAGTGTCGTTCAAGGCTCAGCCACAGGAAAATGGACAGGGTCATTTCTAGCACTCCTTTTTCTGATGCCTGGGCAGATAGAAAAGTCCCTAGCTTTCTTCTAACGGTGGTGTGATGACCTGGATAGCAGTCGCCAACCATCCGTGCCCGTCGCTACTGGGACCTTTCGGACAGATGCGCCCGATTACGTCGCGGATAATTTGCATAACTTGTCGGCGAGCATTGTGGGGCTGGTAGTTCATACTAGGGCCATTGTTAAGAGTTAGCGACATCACAGAACTACATCTCCCGGCAGGCTGCACGCAGCCGGGCGCGCGAACTGCTGGCGTGAGCGAACAGACTTCCGGAAGAGCGGGGGGCGGGACCTCAGCTGGGGCTGGAGCGAGGCGTCGGGATGCAGCGCCCCGGGCCCTTCAGCACCCTCTACGGGCGGGTCCTGGCCCCGCTGCCCGGGCGGGCCGGGGGCGCGGCCTCTGGAGGAGGCGGGAACAGCTGGGCCCTCCCGGGCTCCCTCGTGCAGCTGCCGGGGCGTGAACAGTCCGGGACCCGAAGTGGTACGGGCGCCTTAAGCACCAGCGGCCCGGACTCCAACAGGGTCGGCCCGGCCCAATCCACGATGTCCAAGGCCGAGGAGGCGAAGAAGCTGGCGGGTCGCGCGGCCGTGGAAAACCACGTGAGGGTGAGCAGAGGGGCGTGGGGAGCCTGCCCGCGGCGTGATGGGTTCGTGTCGGGCGCGCGGCGGACTGCCAGGGCGTGCCCAGTTCCTGGAAAGAGCGGCTGCGTGAGGGGGGGACACGGCACGAGTTTGATCTCTCTTCCCTGCCCCGGAAAGGCCCTTTAGATGTGGAGTCTACTGCTGTCAAGGCTCCTAAGGACTGTGGTTTCCCAAGGTTTCTGGCACCGCTGGAACAGTTTTCACAGTGAAGCGCCGTGGTGTCTGATGTTTGGAGTAGGTGTTAGGGGCACTTACCGGTTGGCTTCCTTGTCAACAGATGGAAAATTGCGAGCCCTGGGGCTGTCTGGAAGTCTAATTCCCACTGTCTCGGGAAGCCAGTAAACCGCAGGTTTGCAGTGTGGTCTGAAATTTCACCCCAAGGAAGCTCTTAGCTTGGCGCGCGCGCGTCTCTGAGTGTGCACGTGAGAGGGAAGGAGAGATCCAGCCCAAGGGGGAAGCGAGGACTTTAAGACTTCTACCTTTAACGAGGCCCGGTGGACACTTCTCAGAGTGGAGCTGCAGAGATGTTTAGAAGTTACCCTATGAGGTCGTGACCCCACTTTTGGTTGGTAAGTGGTAGGTGTGGTGCTGTTGGTCTTTCAACCCAGGTGGGTTTTTTGCTGTCAACTAGTCGAGTTAATTATTTTTAATTACAGTACTTCAGCAGAAGACAAGTGCTGTGTTTCTGCCCTGTGGTGGACTTTCTTGGTCTTGTTAGTCTTTTTTGTCTATTTGCTACTTCCTAGGCAGCATTAGCAGATCCCCTTTTCTCCTCAAAGGAAACTTCTTCACCTTTGTTAATACTTTACTGTATGGAGCAATGCCCTGGCAAAGATGATGCCCTATGAGTTTCACTGCAACCTAGGTAAGTGGGAGGACCAGTGTCAGGTCGGGGATGTTGAACCCAGTCTTTCCTGCTACTCTTAGACCAGTTCCATTGCCACCTTGTTTTTTGTAGGTCTGGTTGGCAATAGGATTTTCTATAGGAATTAGGAGTGACAATGGTGACCCTGTTTGGGATTTTAGTGCCACAGCCTGTTATGCTTGGAATAATAAGCTGAAATTTGAATACTGGCTTAAGATTTATTCATAGATGGATAAATGAAATCTATCCAATTACAAAATCCCTACATCTACCTTATCCTGTTAGTCCATTTACATTAATATCTGGTGGTACATGTCTCCCTGACCTTTGATTTATAGTTATGTCTTTGGCTAAGTAAACATCTGCAAACCTTCATCTCAGGTTAGAGCTCAAAAAACATTGGAATACAGCCATATCACTCAAAGAAGTTATCAGGTGATGTTGGGGATATCTCCATTGGCCTTCTATTTGTCTTTGAAAGTTTGGTTCAAAGACCCAAGTTTTGCTTTCTCCTTTCTCCTTCCCCTTTTCTTTCTTTTCTCTTCTCGTGGGTCTTGGGGCTTGAACTCTGGCCCGGGGTGCTGTCCCTCAGCTCTTCAGCCCAAGGCTAGCGCTCTACCACTAGAGCCACATTGCCATTTCCCGTTTTCTGGTGATTTATTGGAGATAAGAATCTCATGGACTTTCCTACCCAGGCTGGCTTTGGACTGCGAATCTCAGATCTCAGCCTCCTGAGTAGCAAGGATTATAGGCATGAGCCACCAGCACCTGGCGCTTTCATTTTTTTCTTTAGCTTCCTAAGGCAAGAAAGGTTTCTCCTCCAGTTCTTTATGCTTAGGAGGTGCTTTATGTTGGTGGCTTTCGTTTTAGTTATCTGTGCTTGTCTGCCTAGCTCCCTAAGGGATAAGCCCTTGGGCAGTAGTCAACCTTCCCTTATCTTCTTCATTCAGTGTTAGCCACAGTGAAACCTCATCCAGAAATGTTGAATTGTGTAAAGTGGCCCTTTGCTTAGATCTGGATGTATGGTTTCCAGACCCCTGTGCATTGGTGTTCTGGTGTAGTAATGATTATTCTCACTTCTGGGTAGATGATAATCCTGGAGAATTCTCAATGAAATACTGGGTTTAGATCTGCCTGTTTTAGAGAGTGATGGTGGGGTAGAGAGATATAGTTATCCTAGGTTGGGTTACCAAGCACAACTAGCTTTGCCCCCAAACCTGTAGCCTTAATTTCCTCTGTCCACTCTGCTTTTTTTTTTTTTTTTGCTGGTCCAGGGTTTTTAACTCTGGGCCTTGTGCTGCCCCTTGAGCTTTTGTGCTCCAGACTAGTACTCTTACCACTTGAACCATGGTTTTACTTCTGGCTTTTTGTGGTTAATTAAAGGGTCTCACAGAATTTTTTCCCTGGTCTGGTTTCGAGCCTTGATCCTCAGATCTCAGCCTCCTGAATAGTTAGGATTACAGGCATGAGCCCCTGCTCCTGGCTGGCTTTTTTTTTAAAATTAAATTGTTTAGTTCAAAGAAGCTATTGGATAGTGGCTCCATTTGGTCAGCAGTGTTTCTAAAGTTATCCCATAGAACAGGGTTTGTGAATTTCTGCCGTTGCACATATGGTTTAGTATGGTCCATTAGAAGGGCTTTCTGCTGTAAGACTACCTCCCAGCCAGCCTTTGGCCACTTGAAGTTAGCTTTGGCTAAGGCAGTGATTCCTAGGTTTGTCATTTGATTCTAGGGCTATTAAGAGCACATGAATTTAAGAGCTTTGGGTCTTTCAGGCCCCTGAAGTTAGAAGCCAAAGGAAGAGCTCTGATGTACCCAAGTTCATCTGTGTGCCACCAGCCTTCTAGGAGTTTGTAAGCCTGTAGTAGTGAGGAATCTGGCAATCAAATTATTTTATAGGTAGAGCCCTCAGCTTCAGATCAGGTTAAACCTACCTAAGCATTGTGAAGGCAAGACCGTTTTTAGTTGAAGATTTTACATACTGAGATATATAGCCATTTAAGAGTTTTTGTTTGTTGTTGTTATGGTGAACCTTGTGATGACATTGTGGCAATCCACATTCTTGCTTTGAAGTCCTTGTGTTTGGTGTTTGCTCTGGCAGCTAAATGACTTTATTGGATGCTTCCATCATGACAGGTAGAATCTGCAAGCTCTGCTCTGATAGCCTAACTAAACCCTGTGGTGCATTTGATAACTTTGGAAGTGTGCCTTAGTAAAAATGGTTTCTACTAGATTAAGAATACAAAAATTGAATCTAGACACTTGTGGCTTACACCTGTAATCCCTGTTACTTAATTTTTTTTGGGGGGGGGTCCGGTCGTGGGGCCTGCACTCTGGGCCTGGGCGCTGTCCCTCAGCTCTTCAGCTCAAGGCTAGAGCTCTACCACTTGAGCTACAGTGCCACTTCCAGCTTTTTTCTTTTTGCTTATGTGGTGCTGAGGAATCAAACCCAGGGCCTCATGCATGCAAGGCAAGCAGTCTACCACTGAGCCACCTTCCCAGCCCAATCCTTGTTACTTAAGAGGTTGAGACCTGGAGAATCCCAGTTCCATGCCCTTGGAAGTTGGAGAGAGCCGGGTACTGGCGGCTAATACCAGTAATCCTAGCTACTCAGGAGTCTGAGATCTGAGGATCACAGTTCAACGGCTGCCTGGGCAGGAAAGTCTGTTGGACTCTTATCTACAATAAACCACCAGAAAACCAGAAGTAGCGCTGTGGCTCAAGTGCTTGCCTTGAGCTGAAGAGCTGAGGTACAGCTCCCAGGCCCAGAGTTCAAGCTTCCACGACCAACAAAAAAACCCCCCAAATACAAAAAAAAAACAAAAAAGTTGGAGAGAAACTTTATCTCCAGTTAACTAGCAGAAGGCCAGCTTGGAGGCATAGGAGAAAGCCAGCTCTGAGCCAGCAAGCTGAGCAAACTCCTGAGTTCAAGTCCTATGGAATACAGAAATATAGTCTTCTGTAGGCAGGAAAGACCTGCTGTAAGTTTTATTTTAAGTTTTTGGTGTTCCTGGGATTTGAAATGAGGGCTTCATGCTTCCTTGGTTTGTTTGAAAGCTTGTCTGGCTCTCTACCATTTGAACCATGCCCATAGTCCTGCTCCTTCCTTCCTTCCTTCCTTCCTTCCTTCCTTCCTTCCTTCCTTCCTTCCTTCCTTCCTTCCTTCCTTCCTTCCTTCTTTTTTTTAACTCTGGGCCTGAGCAACTGTCCCTAAGCTTCTTTTGCTCAAGGCTAGCACTCTACCACTTGAGCCACAGTGCCACTTCCAGCTTTTTCTGTTTATGTGGTACTGGAATCAAACCCAGAGCTTCATGCATGCTAGGCAAGCACTCTACTACTAAGCCACATTTCCCTCCCTTAAAAAATTTTTTTGAGGTGAGTCTTATGCACTTTTATGCCTGGACTGGCTTTTAATCTTTATATTCTGGATCTCAGCCTCCTAAGTACCTTAGGGTTATAGTACGCAACTGCACATTGAGATGTGGTACTGGAGTTTAAATTCAAGGCCTTAAGTCTGCTAGGCAAGCACTCTACCATTGAGCCATGAAGCTCTGGAAGCTTTTTAAGTGTTCCAAGTTTGTAGTTGCCAAGGATATTAATTAGTATTTAATTTTGAATGTGTTTTAAAATCTCTCTACCTGTTGGTCATTCTTTCTAATGTTTTCCAATATTTGATGTAGTCTATCTTTAAGAAGCACCTAATCAAGCCTGTGGCCTAGGGGCTTGCCCCTGGGTATTCTTGTGGTTTTGTGTTATGCAAAGTGAGGAGTTTCAACTGTAGCCTTCAGTTGGTTTGGAGGGGCTCCTGGGACTTTTCTTCCTCCTGCAAAGGAAGTTTCAGAGTAGACTTTCCCTTGCCAGTGTTAATAAGTTGTTGGGACTCTTAAATGGGAAACTGACAATGTAGTGTTGTTTCAGCACTTCCTGAAATTCTTTATTCAAAGTAAAGTTGTATATGTATATGTTGGCAGTTCTGTGATTAAAAGATCATTTTTTGAAAAGATAAGTTCTTGCTACATATATAAAATGGAACATAATGGTGTTGTGTGTGTGGGTGTGTGTGTGGGGGGGGGTGGGGTGGACTGGTCCTGGGGCTTAAACTCAGGGCCTGGGTGCTGTCCCTGAGTTTTTTTGTTTTTGTTTTTTTCCTTGAGGCTGGCATTCTACCACGTGAGCCACAGCTCCATTTCTGGCTTTTGAGTAGTTTATTGGAGATAAGGGTCTTATAAAATTTCTTGCCTGGGGAGGGATGGGGCAGGCTTCAACCCATGATTCTCAGCCTCCTTAGCTCTGAGGAATGCAGGTGTGAGCACTAGCATTCAATTACTTGGCAGTTTTTTTTATTCATTAAATTAATTCACATGTGTCTTAATTCATTTAATAATACCCGAGGTTGGGTTATTTGTAATGAGTATACATTTATGAATTCACAGTTCTAGAGGCTGGGAAATTCAGTATCAAGGTGCTGAATGGTACCTGGAAGCTGGGCAGGGGCGATTTGAGGTGGCAGTGGAGGAGAGAAGAATGAGAGTCAGTAGGTAGATATTGGCGCCATAGTGTGGCATAGTCTCATCTGTGGGAGTGGAGCCTCCATGACCTGATTACCTTCCAGAGGTCCTACTTCTTAACATAGATAGTCTCTGCCTTATAATGGTTTGAATGACAGCATGTACATACTATATATGTAATTTTTTGGGAGGAGTACCAGGATTGAGCCCAGAGCCTTGCCACATAGCCTTGCCATCCTAGGCAGATGCTTTACCACTTAATCCACAAAGCCAGCCATTTCTGGGGGTATGGGGCTTTCATGATCTTTCACTTGGTGTTCCATGGTCTAGCACTCATTTTATAAGGTTTTTGAGACAAACCCTCATTGCATTTATTACTGAGGCTGGCATGAACTTGTGATGCTCCTGCTTCTATTTCTGAAGCAGTTGGGATAACAGGTATGCTCTACCATAACTTAACAGTATTTTGATGGTGGGAAAAATGATATGTACATATCAACTTATCCTGTATTTATTAGGACATACTCATTTTAATTACTTAGTTAACAGGTTTTTTTTTTTAATAAGTTAGAGCCTGTCCTTCATAGTTGTCAAATAATACAAATCCTGAAAGGTCAAATAATGTAAGTGGTTCCAGCATTGCACTGAAAGGATATCCAGTGATCTCCTGCCCATTTTCAAGTTGTACAGTATTGGATTAATCTCTAAAGTGGGGATAGTGGGTCACCAGGTCATAAGAAACTGTTGTGAGATTTGACTTTATATTAACATTTGTCACTCATTCTAGGTGGATATTTAATAAGTGGTAGCTGCTGCTTTGGTGTTATTTGTTGTGCCATAGCCTGGCAGGAGGTTAATCCCAGTAAGTTGCTTATTAGTTTCTGGCGGTAGTCCTGGGCCTTTCTTTGCTCTCATGGTCTGACTGTTCTGCACCTTTCTTAGAATGGCAAGTTCAGTACATGGACAAGTGTTTCTTGTTCTTGGTATTCAGGAAGAAGCTTTCCACATCTATAACATGCTATGTTGCAGATGGATACTGTCAGGCTTCCTTACTCATAAGCTTCTGTTCTCTTCCCATTTTCACTGAGGCAGGCTTGGAGAAAATAGGGACCCTGTGGGATTAACTGGACAGATGCTGATGTGATTTACTATTTTGAATTTACTTCATACCCTTACCTCTTCTACTTTCTTAGAGAGCTCTAGATAGTAGCCCTGATATGTCCCTAAAGTTTCCTGAGTTGCTCCCATCTTGAAGGTGGTAAAGTTGAAGGTGTCAATCCCTGACTTCTAGGTGTTAAGTTTGTGTGAAAAGGTATGAAAGTCAGAAACACCAGCTTTCCACCCTTACCTAAACTTTTTCTTCTAGGGCCTTTTTAAAAAAAATATACTTTTTTATTTATTTGTTTTTACTGGGACTTGAATACAGGATTTTGTGCTTACCTAGCATAGGTACTCTACCCTCAGTCCTTTGGTCATTATTTCCTCTCTTCCTTCCTTCCTTCTTTCCTTCCTTCCTTCTTCCCCGCCCTCTGTATCTCTCTCTCTTTCTTTGTTTCTTTTATTTCTCTCTTCTGTCTTTCTCTTTTATACATTTTTTATTGTAAAAAATACTGTTTTCTAGGGCCTTTTGTTTCTCTTTCCTTTGTTTGGTAGAAATCTTTCAGTGTTTAGTGAAAGGCTATTTCTTTTCTTGTCCTGGGCCTTTAATTCTGGGTTTAGACATTGTCTGTAAGCTCCTTTTTCTTTTCTTTTCTTTTTCAATATTTTTTATTGTAAAGATACTGTACAGAGGGTTTAAAGTTACATGAGCAAGGTAATGAGTCCATTTCCTATCAAGCATTGTTACCCCCTCCTTGTTTTTCCCCTATCATCCCTTTCCTCCCCCCCCCCAAGGTTGTAAAGTTCATTTTCAGCATAGTGTCTTATATATCTTGTTACAATAGGTCATCCTGTGTCCTTATTTCAGCAATTTGTTATTTCCCTTCCCCTCCCCAAATTAGAAAAATGTATATACAAGATACATGATACAGAAATCAAATACAGTAACAACAGGGGTTATACCATGGGGAAAGAACATATAAAGAAACAAAAAAAAATCACATAGTACATTAAAACGAACAGCAAGAAAGAAAATCTCTTGTGTCCCTATCTTGGGGTTCATTTCACTTAGCATCAGCTTGTATGGTCATACGTACATAGCTTTTGATCTCTTCTGCTTGTTTTAGACATATACTAGTTATTGAAGATAAGGGAAACCATGGGACCTATATTTCTTTGGGTCTGGCTTACTTCACTTAATATAATGTTTACCAAGTCTTTCTATTTCTTAACAAATGGGGCGGTGTCATTCTTTCTGATGGAGGTATAGAATTCTATTATCTATCTATCTATCTATCTATCTATCTATCTATCTATCTATCTATCTATCTATCTATCTATCCATCTATCCATCCATCCATCCATCCATCCATCCATCCATCCATCCATCCATCCATCTATCTATGTATCTATGTATCTATCTATGTATCTATGTATCTATCTATGTATCTATGTATCTATGTATCTATCTATCTATCTATCTATGTATCTATGTATCTATGTATGTATGTATCTATCTATCTATCTACACATACTACCTTTTCTTGACCCATTCATCTACTGAGGGGCATCTGGGTTGGTTCCATATCTTAGCTACGGTGAATAATGCTGCAATAAACATAGTTGTGCTGGTAGCTTTAGTATGGTCTTATTTATGATCATTTGGGTAAATGCCTAAAAGTGGGATTGCTGAATATAGGGGAGCTCTATGTGGAGTCTTTTGAGGAACCTCCATACTGCTTTCCAAAGTAGAAAACTAGGGCTCCTTGGCACAGGCTGAAATTTTCTTAATAAAGACCCAGAAGCACAACAAATCATTGTTGTGGGAATACAAACTTGTAAGCTCCTTTTTCTTTTCTTTAAAAAACAATATTTTGTTTTAGAGGTGGTGTACAGTGGGTTTACCTTTACATGTGTCAAGTTTTGCTTGGTATCTGTTCCCTTCTTCTCTCCCATTCTCTCTCTCCAATCTCTGCCCACGAGTTGCCTGGTTCACTTTCATCAATGTCCATTGTGCTCCACTGCTATACTTTTTCACTGATTCTGTGCCCTTCCTCAACCTTCCCTCAGATGTGCATGTACGCACATTGTGTGAGGTAAAGGATACAGAGTCATCTGAAAATGAAAAAAACAAATTAAGAAAAGGTCCTTTGTTTCCTTATCTTTGGAGTTTGTTTCAGTTTGTATATTCTTTTATATATATAGGAAGAGGCGCTTAGGTATTACAATTTGGTGTTTTTCTCCTAAGACTATCCTCTTTTGGTCTCACTGTGAGGCCAATCTAAGTTGTGAAGTTACTGTGTAAAGAATTGAGCCAATCATTTTGTCTGGTGGAGTGTGTGTGTGTGTGTGTGTGTGTGTGTGTGTGTGTGTGTGTGTGTGTGAGATGGTGGTATTAGCAATGTTAGAATGGAAAGGAGGAAGGTTTTGTTGATTAATTGTCCACTAGATACTGGATACCAGGATAAAGTACAGTTTTGAGGTTCAGTGGTTATGTGCATGGAAGGTAGGCACAGTACCTGCCTTGTACCTATGATAGTAAATTGCTCTTTATAATTTTTAGTTCTAGGAAGTAGTCTGAAGAGGGAATAAAATGCAGTATAATGAATTTTGTTTTCTTTTCCCTATTTTTTTACAGAATAACCAAGTGCTGGGAATTGGAAGTGGTTCCACAATTGTTCATGCTGTGCAGCGAATAGGTATGTTTTGAGCAGTCTAGGGAATGCTTTGTGTTTGGTCATGGGGGTGGGAGGTAGAGAATGGGAAGCACTGGGTACAGGTTTGCACTTTCCCATCTTAGCTCGTGTCCTGCAGATCTGGGAGAGGGGGCTGTTTGCCTGGGGTCAGTTGAGTATTTCTGTTCTTTGGGGAAGGGGGTTCTTGGGCATTTTCTACCCATATTGGGGTCATGATGCCCAGCTAGACATGGAGAGGCTAAATCCCAGCAGAACTGTAGTTATCTTAGTGGTATATTGCCAGTAGGAGTCTTACGTTTGGTCCCAGGCTTCCTGTGGCAAACAAAGTAGGTTTTCCCTGTGTATGAGAGTAGATGAGGCTCCTGTAGTTGGTGGCTGGTTCCTAACTTCATATTTGATAGGGTTGTGTATGTGCTTGGGAAGGACTCAGGAGTGACCAGCCCCATGGCTGCTCAACAGGTTCTGCTGCCCTGCTCTTTGTTTGTCAGTACAAAGCCTGGGAAGGCTTACCCAACCCTGATCTCTTTTAGATGCTAAGGGTCAGGGCCCAGGAGGCAAAATCTAGGTTCTCTTGGTTATTAAGAAGTGGTTGTTATGCTGGTGTAGTGGCTTCTGGGAGCGGCCTTACTGGCCGAGCTGGAGCTGTAGAGCTGAGTATCTTACTATTCTGACTAAGAAGGGGGGATTTAAGGACAGGGAATACTATGCTTTGGTAAGAGTGGCAGCCAAGCCTTCCATTATGCAGACTTGGTGATTTAAAACTTGACATTTTAAGAAGAAAGGTTTTCTTTTTCTTTCTTTTTTTTTGAGAAAAGTATCTGTTGAGCATACAAAGATGATAGGTGACTCTGATCTCTTTCTGCTACTTTGCTCCTCTCATGGCTAAACTCAACTGTTTTGGTTGCTGCCTACTGAACTCTATACCCTTTTCCTAATGCTGGTTTGGGGTTTAGTCATGTGGTTCAGCCACTGTTCAAAAGACAGTTTTTTATTAATTAATTTACTAATTCTCTTTAAGTAGCTGGCCATTTAACAACATAGTTTTATGAACACAATGTGTCTTGATCAGTGTCATCCCATTCAACATTCTCACTCATCCTTCCTCCCTCCCTCCCTCTCTGTCTGTCTGTCTCTCTCTTTGTCTCTGTCTCTGTCTCTCTATCTCTCTCTCTTACTCACTTTTGTTGCCTGTTTGGGGCTTGATCTCAGGGCCTGGATGCTTTCCCTGAACTTTTTTTTTTGTCGGTCATGGGGCTTGAACTCTGGGCCTGGGCGCTGTCCCTCAGCTCTTCAGCTCAAGGCGAGTGCTCTACCACTTGAGCTACAGCGCCACTTCCGGTTTCTGGTGGTTTATTGGAGATAGGAGTCTCACGGTCTCTCCTGCCCGGGCTGGCTTTGAACTGCGATCCTCAGATCTCAGCCTCCTGAGTAGCTAGGATTACAGGCGTGAGCCACCAGCGCCCGGCTCCCTGAACTTTTTTTGCTGAAGACTAGTGCACTGACACTCGAGCCACAGTGTCTTCCAACTTTTTCTGAGTAGTTTATTGGACTTTTCTGCCTGTGCTCGCTTCTATTCACAATCCTTAGATCTCAGCCTCCTGAGTAGCTAGCTAGGGTTACCAGCAACTGGCACCCAGCCTCCCCTTGCTCTTTCCATCTTTTCCCTCACTTTTCTTAATTTTTTTTTTGTTTGTTTTTGGGTCTGGTTGTGGGGCCTGAATTCTGGGCCTGGGCGCTGTTCCTCAGCTCTTCAGCTCAAGGCTAGCGCTCTACCACTTGAGCCACAGCGCCACTTCCAGCTTTTTTCTTTTTGCTTATGTGGTGCTGAGGAATCGAACCCAGGGCCTCAGGCATGCAAGGCAAGTGCTCTACCACTGAGCCACCTTCCCAGCCCAAGATCCTGTATCTCTTTTCCTCAGTTTCCTTGTTTGGAAAATAGAGGTAATAATTGTAACTTATCTTTTGGTTTGTTTGGATTGAAAGAGCTTGTTTGTACATGTTTTTTGCTTGGAAAGCTGAGATTGTTCTGTCTTAACCTCTTTAGACGTTCCAGTGTCCCTGTTTTCTGGTATATACAGTGAAAGCATTAGCTTTTTCACCAAGGATGGGACACAGAATGAAAGACAACTGTCAGTGGGAGATAGGCCTTTCCTTCTGGTCAGATTTGAGCAAACGTACTAGTGACAAGAGAAGTGAGTTACCAATGTGACTTTTGTCTCCACAGCTGAAAGAGTGAAGCAAGAGAATCTGAATCTCGTCTGCATCCCCACTTCCTTCCAGGTATGTCCTGCTTCCTATGTTTTTGCATATTGGCAGCTATTGCCAAACCTGGTTCTGCTATGCGGATACGGGGCTCTGCAGATATCAGGGTTCTTGTGAGAGCAGGAATTTGTTGACCAAGGATTGCTCTTTAGAAGTAGGATTTTACATGTGCTCATTTATTTATTCCTAGAATATTTTAGTGTATTTTGACTTTAGAATATATAGATTTTCTCTCTCTAAATATATTTTGACTATAGAATATATATTGTTTTAGTGTATTTGACTTTAGAATATATAGAGATGACCATATGGTCTCATAGGTGAAAAAAATTGAAGCTAAAGGAAATAAATTAAGCAAAGTGGTAATAATGTACATGCAGCTTTTTCTTTTGGTGCCAGTCCCTGGGCTCTGTCTCTGAGCTTTTTTTGCTCAAGGCTAGCATTCTGCTTGAGCCACAACTCCACTTTTGTCTTTTTTTGGGTAGTTCATTGGAGATAAGAGTTTCACAGATTTTCCTACCCAGGCTGTCTTTAAACTGTGATCCTCAGATCTCAGCCTCCTGAGTAGTTAGGATTATGTGAATGAGCCATTGGCATCAAGCTGTACATATAGTATTTTGGTTTCATATCTAATGTTCCTCTTTCATAAAATAGTAGGGACTGGAGGAATAAAGTTATGGAGCCAGCTAAATATAGTCAATGATTAGGAAAATGTGAACTTTGGGAAGTGAAGGGGGATGGAGATAACTCTCAGTTGTTCATTCTCAATTGTTGAGAATTCTCTATTAAGGTATTTCTTGCCAGGCACCTGTAGCTCACTCAACATTTGTAATCGTAGCTACTCAGGAGACTGAGATCTGGAAGATTGTGGTTTGAAATTAGCCCAGGCAGTAAAGTTTATGACATTCTGTCTCCAAAATAATCAGCTAAAAAGTAGAACTGGAAGTGTAGCTCTGGTGGTAGAGCTTCAGCTTAGAAGCACAAGGCTCTAAGTTCAAACCCCAATATTGATTTAAAAAAAAACCAAACAAACAAACTAGTTTTTTAATTTATTGAGGAGCTTGATACTACCATTCTTTTTTGTTTTTAGAGGATAGTTTTTATTCATGAGCAAATCACAACAGAGCTATTACAAGCACCCTATTAATCCCCTCCCTGTTAATAACTAACACAAAGTCCAAACTTGGTTAGTTAAAATGAACCCAAATGCTCAGAAGAGTTTGTAAATAAAGGATCTGAAATTTTCCTGTCAAACAGCAAAAGCCCAAATTAGTTCACATAAACCACAAAATGCCTCAAAAGACCTTCCAGACTGAATAAAAAGGGGAAGGCAGCTGGGCACTGGTGGCTCATGCCTATATTCCTAGCTACTCAGGAGGCTGAGATCTGAGGATTGCAGTTCAAAGCCATCTGGGGCAGGAAAGTTCGTGAGACTCCTCCATAAACCACCAGAAAACTGGAAGTGGCACTGTGGCTCAAGTGGTAGAGCCCTCACCTTGAGCTGAAGAGCTGAGGGACAGCACCCAGGCCCAGAGTTCAAGCCCCACGACTGACAAAAAAGAAAAAAAAAAAAAGAGAAAGGGGAAGGCCTGAGACATACCAGTCAGGGAGAAGTACTAAGGGTCAGACCTTAGAGCCTGTAGCTGATACTAGCTGTAGGAGAAAGATAAGAAAAAGTCCTTAGAATAAGTCCATCTTTCATCTTTGTCGAGGGCCAACTAGCTGTAGTGGCTGATGGGAAAAGGGCACATTTTGTTTCAGTTGCCTCTCCAAAGCTGAAAGCAGAGTTATGGGACTCTAGTCCACGTGGCCCCCCTCCAGGAATTCCATGTGTTAGGTCCAGGCACTTACCCCAATCTTTCAGGTAAAGTGTTGAGTGCTGGTAAAATAGAGGAGGATTACTGGATGGCAGAAATGGCCATGAAAAGAGGCAAAGTAAACATGTTAGCCCATCTTGAGCCATCTTTAGAGTGTAGCCATAAACTTTAGATTTAAATAGACAAAGAATTTGGCCAGGTATGAAAGGCATACATTATTAAGCAATTCTAGTAAAAGTACGTCCTGGCTGGTCATTATCTTAGTCTTGGTTTTTGGAGGGATTCTGGAACTAGCTGCTAGCTGTCTGGTCAGAATAAGTAAGTCATTAGTGGCTCAGAATAGATTGAGATGGGTGTTGAGCTTTTCTCTTATTTTTAGTTAATATGTGGGTCTGGTAAGGAGTACTTTTTTTTTTCTTTTCAAAAGTGGTTAAATACCTGTTACAAAAATAGTGGTCAGGTAGTCCAGTGGTAGAGTGTTTGCCCTGCATGCATGAGGCTCTGGGTTTGATTCCTCAGCACCACATAAGCAGAAGAAGCCGGAAGTGGTACTGTGGCTCAAGTGGTAGAGAGCTCGCCTTGAGCTGAAGAGCTGAGGGACAGAGCCCACGCCCAGAGTTCAGGCCCCACAACCAACCAAAAAAAAAAAAAGTGATTTATTAGGAAAGTAGGGTTACACCTTAATGGATGAAGCAGGCAGTTGCTTTGAAAACTGTCAGTTGGATTAAACTAGTTTTATCTAACAGGGTGGGGTTATAAAAGGCTCTGGGCCCTTCTCTTATGGCCACTCCCCAAAGATTAGACTACTGCTCCTTAAGTGTGGGAAGGAACTTAACCTTTGCCATTAGCACTCTTTTCCCCTCCCAATTTAACCTTGAATGGGGGAGTATGTGGCCTCCTTTGGGCCTTTATCTAAGTCCTGGATGTAAGCCTTAATATCAGTCTTTGGTTTGGGGAATCAGCCCTCTGAGTGTTGTAGTGTGACCTTTTTGGTGTAGAGTCTCTCTGGGCACTTGGCTTTTGCTGCTTTTACCTTCTTTCACTAATATTCTTCCATCAAGAACTCAGGACTGGGCTGGGAAGGTGGCTTGCCTAGCATGCATGAAGCCATAGGTTTGATTCCTCAGTACCACATAAACATAGAAAGCCCAACAGGTTCTCTGTGGCTCAAGTGGTAGAGTGCTAGCCTTAAACAAAAAGTCCCTGAGGACAGTGTCCTGGCCCTGAGTTCAAGCCCCAGGACTAGTAAAAAAAAAAAAAAAAGCTCAGGACCCTGAATTCTTCCAGTGGTAAGAATGATGAAATGAATCAGACTTCTTCCTGCTGATAGGGGGAAATGGGATCTTCACTGTTCAGTCTTGCTATCTGTCAGGACTCAGGAAAGTCAATCTGGCTTGAGCTGAGATAGCTGCTGAGAATGTTGTCAGTGAGACTGTGGTTGTCAAGAAAGGAAGTGGTTTTCTTGGCATTTACCCAAATTACCACAGATAAGGCCACACTAAAGCTACCAGGACAACCATGTTCATTGCTGTACTGTTTACCATACTGAATCAACCCAGATGCTTCTCAGTAGATCAATGGATCAAGAAAATGTGGTATATATACACAATGGAGTTCTGCGCTTCCATCAGAAAGAATAAGAATGACATTGCCAGACCCAAAGAAACATAGGTTGCTTGGTCTCCCTCATTTTTTTTTTGTTTCTAAGTATCTATTTATTTATTTTTATTTTTTGTGAACATACTGTACAGAGGGGTTACAATTCCATGGGCAAGATAATGAGTACATTTCTTATCAAGCATAGCAGCCTCCTCCTTTGTTTACTCTTCACATCCCTTCCCAGCCTCCCCTGCCCCCCACCCAATCCACCCCCCCCACACCAAAGTTGTAAAGTTCGTTTTCGACATGACAACTTGTACTTCTCATTGTTGCAACGGGTCCACCTGTATCCTTAAACGATTTGTTTTTCCCCATCTCCTCCACAAATTATACCGACATCAAATATAGTGAAAGCAGGGGTTATAATGTGGGGGAGGGACATACAAAGCAACAAAGAAATAATCTTATAAATGTGTTAAAAACACATGCATGAAAGAAAAAAACATTTAAATACATATCTAAGGGTTCATTTTCCTAACATCACATTATCT